TGATATTAGTTCATACCTAGTGAGTGACAAGGATATGTCAACTGGGACTTTCATACACTGATGGTGGAGGATTTTAAAACTTCAGTAGTTTCTCATACTTTTAAATATTCAGTCACCATACGATCCAGTAGTTCGAAAAGAAATAAAAATATATGTCCAAAGACTTGTATACACATGTTCATAGCAGCATTATTTGTAACAGCCAAAAACTAGAAACAACTCAAACATCCATCAACAGGTGAATGAATAAACAACGGTATATTCACACAATATTACTCAGCAATAAAAAAGAATGAATTACTGATACACATAACAACATGAATGAATCACCAAAATATTACATTATGAAAAATAATTATGACCCAAAATGTACAAATTATATTATTCCATTTATATTAACCTGAAATATAGGCAAAACCATTCTATGATAACAGAAATCATTAGAGTGGTTACTTCTGGTGGGCGGAGAGAGAATCACCAGAAAAGAAGAATGAAATATCCTTCTGATATGACAAAAATGTTCTGTATTTTGATTGATGTGGTAATTACATGGATATACATATTTGTTAGAATTCATCAATATGTATGGGTGTACTTTATTGAATATGGATTATTAACAGTACTAGAAATTTTAAAAATTTACATAGTGAGACCTCTATGGGTCTTATAGTAAACCATTTTCAATAGGCCATAGCACATTTTTGGTGTTTAATCACTACATAAGGAAAGCAGGAAGTGGGGTAGGTAGGTAGATTATTTTAAGCGTAACCAAATGTGTGTTTTGTACTACCCTAAGGGACTTTACAACTTAGTTCAGGATGTAAGATATAATCTATGAACTAGTTCATTATCCTTAATAGCTCCTATAGGTGCCACAACAACCTCTGAATTATGTTGTCTCAGGGAGATTCACTCCCAAATTCTGAATCCTCCTGTCCTGCTTATTCTCTCCATTTTTGATCCTTCACTTAGGTTGTGTTCAGGACTTGATAATCCTGAATTTTATCCTGATTTCCCAGCCCACCTTTACCTGAGACATGGACTTTAGTGCCACAGCCACTAACCAATTCTATCCTTTAATATGCTTAGTCTGTAAAACTAAGAACTTAACTTTGGAAAAACCTTAAGCCCTTCAATTTACCAGGATAGTGGACTAAAAAATGTGAAAATTAAATGATAAGAATAGGAACAGAACATATTTCAGAACCTATCAATAGTTGGCGGTAGTTGGCAAATGAATCAAACAGGAATAATTATTACTGAAGGCCCCAAATGAGATAAAGGCTGAATCTAAGCTAGGTTTGTTACAGATAAGAAAGAATAATTGCTAGCAAGGTGGAGCGGCTTAAGCAAAAGAAAGAAAAAAATGTTAAGTATTACATAAGAATTAATTTGTCTAAACTCTAGAATTTAAGAAATGTATACCTAGATATGCGTAAGGTAATTTAAAAAAGCAGATTAGATCTTATTTGATAATCACAAAAAGTTGTGGAGTAGACTGAGCAGTATTATCTTCATTTACAGATATTAAATAAAAGAAATTCTAGCATAGAAAGGTTAATATTTGCTCAAGCTCATATAACTAGTCAGTGAGACAAAGTAACAAACATAAGAAGCTATGTTTGCTCATTTCTGCTTACCAGCAAAATTTCACAAAGCCTCCACCCTGCAACTGCATGCTGCTCTCTTAGCAAGATGCTTTGAAGACAGAACACTGCATTGCTTAAAAAATAAATGACCCTAGTCCTTGCCTTTTCTTACACATAAGATAACCAACGCCTGCCAAGGTTAGAGAAATGCCCCTGCAAACTATAACCAGATGTACTCTTGCATCCAAACTTAGATGTGATTTTGTACATACTGAACTTCACCACCTTTATATAAACAATGGGCTGAAACACTGCTTCAGAGCAGTCTGACAGAACTGCTCCCAGGCTCTAGGCCTCAGTCTACAGTCCTCAGTCAGACTTCTGAATAAAACTAAGTTTAATTTTTTAAAAGCTTGACTTTTTTCCTTTAGTCAACATTAGGGATAGGACCAGTACTGAATGAAATTTATTTCTCTTGATTCACAGCCAAATGTTCATTTAATTAGACCATGCTTCTGCTCAATATTCTCCGATTTTGCTCAATATAACTCTAACCAAGCTTCTCACCACAAATAACTCTGCCCCCACTTATTTCTTCTTGAATGTATACACTTCATCTGAAGGACTCTTTTCAAGTACATTTTCAAGATCTACTTTAAGATAAACCTCATTCTCTTAACCAATAGAACTGATTATTGATATGATAGGAGAGGCAGTTTCTAGCCTTACTGGCCATACATATAAGTCCAAGCCTTCCTTCCTGTAGCTACTAAAAGATTTAGGTTCCAATAATATTTTTTAAAACTAACTTTGGGTAATAGATCAGAAAATTATTAACTATCCAGGGAAGCAGATTTTCTGCTTATTCATACCTTGGAACTATCACCTACCTTGCAGTCAAGGGTGAGTCTAACAGCATAGGGTGTAACTATGATACTGTCCTTCCACATTATAGTAAGTAAAAAAAGATAACTCATCTTTCATTAGAACATAAAATGGACTTCCATTTTTATTTTCTTCAATAGAAAAACATGCTTAAATCTTTTCCATGTCTTCTAAACTTTCCAAAGATCCAATCTTCCCTTCCTTTCACTGACAAATTTTTTTGAAACTGTACACTTACTCAACTTGTCTCAACTTCCAGCCCATTGTTTTTATCTAGTATTATACTTACTTTCCCCTTCCACTCAATTCTCATTAAGGAAACTAATGATATCTTAAACACCAAAACCAAAGATCTATTTTTCAAGTCTTAGTCTTTTTAAAACTCTTTTGGGGATAGGGGAGCTGGTGCAAAGTTCTCCAGATAGCAATTACTGAGCTCTTACTCTGTGCCAAGCACTGTACTAATTAAGTTTTAAAAAATGTTCCATTTAATCCTCACAACAGCTCTCAGAAGTGTTTATTACCCCCTTTTCACAGATTAAAATTGAGGCTCAAAATTACCCAAAGACATATAGTGAAGCCCATATGATTCCAATGTTTCAATTCTGTGACTTTTGACAATAAGGTTGTTCCCAGTTCTCTTCCTAACTCTGGTATCTACTCCATCTTTTACTATTTCATCATCCTCTGCTCATCACCACTTCTCTTATTTCACTTGTTCTCCTTGGCAATTTAATTTCCTCCCATGGCTTTAACTAAATTCTATATTAGTGTTTCTCAACCTTTCGAAACTTTTTAAAACATAAAAATCTTGAAGTTTTCTGTAGCTTGTATTTTGAAAATAGGTTTTTCCCCAAATAGAATTTATAATATTGAATGCTTGTTCAAACTATAGCTCCTCCCACTTCTCAATATCTGTTAACCTCTTATGCACCACCCTAAGATTGAGATCCATCTGTATGACTCTCTCGAATCAATCTATATTTCTTCTTTCCATTCAGCTTCTCCCAGACATCTCTCTCGAGTTATAAACTAACACAGTTCCATTATTGTCACCCCAGGCCCTTCAACATAAACTCATCTAAAACAAAACTCTCATTTCCATTATCAAACCTGATCCATCTCGGTGTTCTCTCATTTTGGCTAATGGTGTCACAATCCACCTTTGTCTATGCTTTAAGAAATCAATTTGCAAAATGGTAATATTGACACGCTCTGACTCTCTTGAGATTCTAGGTAAATCAACCATTATATGAGCTGGTATAGCCAGGAATGGAAAATAGTACAACATATAATCCTCTTCATCCTCAAGAAATTGATAAGCAAAAATATATCCAAACCACTTTCTTTTACAATTTCATTTACAAAATTAAACTATTTCACAGGCATTTTAATCTTTTTATCATAATTCCATTATCGTTTTACATGAGACTTCATGTTCCGCTCTCTTTTATTATTGAAATAAACTTACACAAAATAAAACGAAAACAGGTCCGAATGCAATAAAAGTCAATAGAGCAGCGCACACAGCCAAGTACCAAAAGACACAAACCGATCTGAATGCGTTTTGGGGCGGCCCTTCTGTGAGGGCCGGGGGCCGCCTAGCCAAGCCCTCGCTCCGACGCCCTCCCACCCCCGCTCCGTGACGCTCTCACTCCGGGAAGTCTCTGCGGCCTGTCCTCGGCCAGCTGAGTCGGCGGTGACCGCGGGAAAACCCCGCTCTGCGACCTTGAGCGCACTGAACATCAGCTGCCGCCACCACCGGGCCCGGGCCCGGTCCGAGGCTGAGTCCGGGCTCGGCCGCAGACACCGCGCCCCCACCGAGCCAGACGTCCAACCCGGGAAAGTTAGCGTACCTGGGAGAAGGCAGCTGGAGGACCGGCGGGCCTGGCAAACCTAGAAGGCGGGAATGACAATGGTAACAGACTGGGCTGGCCTGCGGCACTAACTGCATCCACTAGGTTTGGTCAACACCAAGCCACACAAACTTTCCGGGACTGCGCGGGAACCTGACGCCGCAGGCGGAGATCTGGGGTCAGAGGCAGAGAGGGTATCACAGTGGGGGAGGGCAGAGGCTGGGCGGGGCGGAGGCGGAGACACGGCCCTTGGGGGCGGGGCGAAGTGCGAGAAGGCAGCGAGTGAGGGCGTTGCGCGCGCGACTCAGGGAGGCGGGCACGAAGGGGGCGGGGCGCGCAGCGTGAGGCGGCAAGCACGTGGGGCGAGCGCGAGGCGGGGCGCGGCGCGCGGCGTGAGAGGGGGCGGGGCGCACGTATCGGCGCCGCGGCCGCGTGACGCGTTTTCAAATCTTCAACCGCCGCAGGCCACTCGTTTGTGCTCCGCGCCTTGGAACCGGATTCGGCCCCGGAAACCCTGCTCGCAGACGCGGCACCTCTACTGCGTAGAGCCGGTGGCCGGCGGAAGGGGAGAGGCGGCCGTCCTGTCGAGAGCCTGGGAGAAGCCGTGTTTTCGCGTCCGCCCGGCGATACACCCTCTCCGGACCCAGCATGTAGGTGCCGGGCGGCTGCCATGAACCCCGGAGCCATGAGGATCCACAGCAAAGGACATTTCCAGGGTAAGAAGCCCCTCCTCCGCCTCCTGTCCCTTTAATCCTTTCCTCCTTTCATGGTTCCACCATTGATTCTTCAGTTCTCCCGCCTGGTCCACTGCTTCTTTTCTTTTCTGACCGTCCTCCTCTGTGGTCTGGAGGAAGGTTCCATTCGGTCTTTTGCTTCAGAGAAGGAACGGATCCTGGCCCGGTCCCTAGCGCCCTGCCGGTTCCAGCCGCCGTCCCAAATTGCGGATCCTGCCTTTGGTGCAAAACTAGCAAACAACGTGCGGATCCGGGAAGTCGTCGGGGCTGCGACACTGCTCTCTTCCCGGGCTCCCACAGCTGCTGCGACTCCGCTCAGGCCCTTTGAAGCTGCGGATTGGATCTTCAGTTTAAAGTCGGGCGTGCTCGTGGCTTTTCGCTTCATGATTAGATTGGGTCATTGTGGGTGGTTTTAAAGTTTATTTTCCTTCACTCTTAAAATTGAGGGAAAGTATTTCTATTTCAAACACACCATTGCTAGTTTCAGCATTATAGGCAAACAGGGAAACAAAAAAAAATCCACTTTCAATTACTTGATGTGGTAAAACATTCTAGCATGTAAGTTTTTCATATACGTGTTTGTGTTCTTAACTACCAATTTAAGAACAGATTGTGTTCTTAAAGTGAATTTTTAAAACAGTTGCTTGGATCTCAGATCTGTTTTAAATGAAAATAATGAAATGAATGGTGATTTAGTTCTTAATGGACCATTAAGTTCTTAATATATAGAGAAACTGTATATGAAATCATTTAGTTTTTAATATTTAGACAAACTTTGTATGAAACTAAAGCTTGAGGAATCAGGGACCCTTAAGTACTAGGTCATTCTGGGTAACAGGTTTCTTACGTTGCTAAGTGTTGAAGATTTTAAGTACCAGTTTTGAGTGTTCAACAGAATGGCAGATATACCCTTATGGAGTTTACATGCTAAGGAAGAATATCTTTCAGAAGGGTTTTATGTAGTTCCATGGCTTAATACATTAGACATAAATAAACACGAATATTTCCTGCTGATTCGACTATTTTACAATATAGGATCTGTGAAGGTATATAGGGCATTTGGCCTTTATCCTAAGTAGTACTACATTTTTAAATACTAATGACTTAAATTGGTGGGAGTATAGGGATTTTTTTCTGTGATATGATTATATAATATTTTTAAAACAGTAAAAATGTCTGCATAAAAACATTTAATTCTAAACGTTTGTAATAACAGGTGGAATCCAAGTCAAAAATGAAAAAAATAGACCATCTTTGAGATCTCTGAAAACTGACAACAGACCGGAAAAATCCAAATATAAGCCACTTTGGGGGAAAGTATTTTACCTTGACTTACCTGCTGTCACCATATCTGAAAAACTGCAAAAGGACATTACAGATCTGGGAGGGGTAAGTGAAAACCATATATACGCTGGCAAAAAAGGAAAATTTTGTAACTAGTACTTTCTACCATATAATCATTTAAATTTTTCATTTTGGAAACAAAGCCATATATTGGTGCCTGGCTTAAAATTCTTGTCAGTTGTTTATCATTAATTAAAAACTATTTGTTTTAATCTTTTGTAGCCTGACGACACTTTCTCTGATTAGTAGTCTAGTATAAAGTTCTCAAAATATAAGAAATGAGACTCCCTTGTCCTAGTGGAGCTACTTACTACCTGCTCAGTGTAATGTTGGGATGTCCTCCAGAGAGCAGGAACTCCTTGAGTATGAATATTGGGGGCGCTATGTAAATTAGTCTGGACTAGTATAACAGTTAAGAATGTTATTTACAGAACATGTGAAACCCGTGCAAATCACAAAATTAAAATTGCTCTTGAGTTATCACTCTGTAGAGAACTAAGTCTCTACAGAGTATAATGCACTCTTACGTGTTTTTGGTAGATTCAAAAATGAATCCTATGTGCATCCTCAAGTTCTAATCTAGGTAAAGATGACATAGCTATAATTGATTTTAATACAACAGTGAATGTCAAGAAGAGTGAGGTATTACAGCTGAGGAATTGTGGAGGACATTGTACAGGCACAATTTGAACTCAGCTTTGAAGAACGATTAAGATATGTGTGTATGGAAATTCATTCAAAAATTATTCACCGATGTCTCCTGTATGCCAGCACCATTTTAGAGGCTGGCGATATAAAAACAATATGAGTCTAGTTCTCTAGGTAGTCTCAGTCTAGTGGGAACATCAGACAACTGATTTATAGTAGAGCTTTGTCAGTTCTTTAACAGAAATGTAGAAATTACTGTTAGAACACAGGGGAATGATTGACTCCGCCACTGGGAATCATAACAGAGATAAAGTTTGAGCTAGATCTTGAAGGCCTAGTGGGAATATACCACACAAAATGGACATACTAAATAAAGGAAAGACTATATTTAAAATATAATCAATGCGGTTTGTTTGCGTGACCACTGATGTTGCATGTGACTTGAGCTTGGGCTGTAGATGGGGGAAATGGCAAGCAACAAAGGTATATTAGGGCTAGCTTGTAAAGGGTATTCTATTCAATACTAAGGAGTTTTAACACTGTAAGAAATGGAAAACCAAAGGAAATGTGTGGTACTAGCATAAGAACAGACACATAGACTCATAGAATGGAACAAAGAGCCCAGAAATAAACCTTTGCATATATGTTTTATTTATTTATTTTTAAGAGACAGGGTCTTGCTTTGTCACCCGGGCTGGAGTGCAGTGGCTCAATCATAGCTCACTGTAACCTCAAACTCTTGGGTTCAAGCAGTTCTGCCTAAGCCTCTCAAATAGTTAGGATTATAGGTGCACAACACCATGCCCAGTTAGTTTTTAAAATTTTATAGAGACAGGGTCTCTATCCTCCGAAAGTGCTGGGATTACAGGCATGAGGCACCCACACCCAGCCTGCATAAATGGTTAATTGATTTTCAACAAGGGTGCTAAGACCATTCAATGGGAATGGAGCAATCTTTTCAACAGCTAGTGCTGAGAAAACTGGATATCTACATGCAAAGAAATGAAGTTGGACTCTTGCCTTACATTGTATTCAAAATGGACCTAATATTTAAATGTATGAGCTAGGCCAGGCACAGTGGCTCACGCCTATAATTCTAGTGCTTTGGGATGCGAGGGAGAATCATTTGAACCCAGGAGTTCAAGACCAGCCTGGGCAACATAGTAAGACCCTGTCTCTACAAAAAGTAATCTTAAAAATAAATTATATAGGCCAGGCACAGGGGCTCATGCCTATAATTCTAACCCTCTGGGAGGCTGAGGCAGGAGAATCACTTGAGGTCGTGAGTTTGAGACCAGCCTAAACAAGAGTGAGCCTTGTCTCTACCAAAAATAGAAAAAATTAGCCTAGTGAGGTGGAGTGCATCTGTAGTCTGAGCTACTTGGGAGGCTGAGGCAGGAGGATCGCTTGAGCCCAAGAGTTTGAGCTTGCAGTGAACTATGATCATGCTATTGCACTCTACCCAGGACAAAAGAGTGAGACTCGCCTCAAAAAAAAAAATTAATTATATAAATATAAGAGCTAAAGTTCCTAGAGAAAATATAGGGGAAAATATGTATGACATTGTATTTGGCAATGATTTCTTGGATATGATTCCAAAACCAAAGACAGTAAGTGAAAAAAATACATAAATTGCACTTCATCAAAATTAAAAACTTTTTTGCCTCAAAGGACATTATCAAGAGAATAAAAAGACAACCCACAGAACAGTAAGAAATATTTGCAGTTTATATATCTGATAAAGCATTAATATCCAGAATACCTATATAAAGAATTCCTACTACCCAACAACAAAAGACAACCCATTTAAAAAAAATAGGTAAAAGACCTGACATTTATTCAAAGAAGATACAGTAATGGCCAATAAGCACTTGAAGAGATGGTCAACATCACTAATCATTAGGGAAATGTCAATCAAAACCACAGTGAGTTACCACTTCAAACCCCTTACGTTGGCTACTATCAGAGAACCAGAAAATAACAAATGTTAACAAAGATATGGAGAAATGGAACTCTTGTGCACTGTGAATAGGAGTATAAAATCATGCAGCCACTATGCAAAATAGTATGGGTAGTTTCTGAAAAAATTAAAAATTGAATTACCATATGATCCAGCAATTCCACTTCTGCAGATATAAGAATTGAAAGCAGAGTCTTGAAAGGCGTATTTGTATGTCTTTGTTCATAGCATTATTATTCGTAATAGCCAAAAGGCAGAAACAGCCCAAATATCCAGTAGCTGAATGGATAAACAAAATGTTGTAATTACATACAATGTAACATTACTCAGCTTTAAAAAGGAGTAAAATTCTGATATATGCTACAACATTTGTTAACCTTAAAAAACATTGCGCTAAGTGAAAAAAGCCAGTCACGAAAACACAAATTATAGGATTCCACTTCTATAAGGTACCTAGAATGGCTAAATTCATAGAAACAGACAGAAGAAGAAAAGTTACCAGGGGATAGGGAGATTGGGGAATATGAAGTTATTGTTTAATGGGTACAGAGTTTCAGTTTGGGATGGTGAAAAAAAAAATCCAGAAATGGCCAGTAGTGATTGTTGCGTAATATTGCATGTCTTTACTACTACTGAATTGTACACTTAAAAATAGTTAAAATGGGCCAGGTGTGGTGGCTCACTCCTGTAATACTAGCACTCTAGGAGGCCGAGGTGGGAGGATCTCTTGAGCTCAGGAGTTCGAGACCAGCCTGAGCAAGAGTGAGTAAGGCCTCCATCTCTACTAAAAGTAGAAAAAATTATCAGGGTGTTGTATCTTGGGCCTGTAGTCCCAGCTACTCAGGAGGCTGAGGGAGGAGGATTGCTTGAGTGCAGAAGTTTAAGGTTGCAGTGAGCTATGATGATGCCATTGCACTCTAGCCCAGGTGACAGAGCAAGACTTTGTCTCAAAAAAGAGGGGGGGAGTTAAAATGACAAATTTTATGTACATTTTGTCACAGTAAAACCTGTAGAACATTGGGCTTCTTCTGAAAAATTAGAACTTATGGCATTGCTAGGGCCTCATGTTTATGAAAATGAAGACAGTATTTGATGTGTAAATTGTTCATTTATATTCCTGCCTGAAGCTTGTAGACATATGAGTGTGTACTTGCTGGAATAAATAAATGTGGACATTTTATTTACTGGTCAATGAAAGTAAATGTTGATAGAAAAAAAGGAAGTGACTTACACTTAACCAAGGAAGCCATTGATCTCAGCAGTAAATTCTGCTTCATTCTTAAATGAAATTAACCTAACCGTTGCACACTTTACTTCATTATTATCCTGATTTATAGTGTGAGATTCTTTAGAAATCAGATATAGCTGTTTAAAATATTTTTAGAAGTATTTCATTTATACAAATAGTAGTAGTATTAGTATTCTACTTAGTATTCTACTTATTTTAATTTACCTGCTCTTGGATGTGGGTGATCTTTAATAACATTGACTTTGGTACATTTGTGTATATTAGGTTATTAAGTATGAAATGTCCAATTTCCTTAAGTACTATGTTTGACCAGGATATCTCTGACATTTTCCTTTGACACTTCTTGTTTTATGTTTATTGTGAAGTTACATCCTCAGTCTTTCACATGCACGTTTTTGCTTGTGATTACCTTTCAAATTTTTTTCAGAACAATTTTTATGAAACCCTGGATAAGTCAAAAATTTCATGTTATTTTGAATATGAATTCCGACGTGGAACCAATGCAGCACTGACAGCTCAAAATATCAATGAAGTGTTTGGGAAGGATGTGACTAATGAGTGCACAGTATATCGATGGTTTGAGAAGTTTTGTTCTGATTTTAATCTTGAAAATGAGCCACATGGGTGACCTGAGACCAAGGCGGATAATGATGAGCTGAAAGCCTGTGGTGGAAGCAAATCCATCTCAACCTACGCATGAATTGGCAGCAAGGTTTGATGTTACTATTCCAACAATTTTGGGCCATTTGAAACAAATTGGCAAGGTAAAGAAGCTGGATAGATGGGTTCCCCATGAATTAAAGAAGCCTCAGAGGAGAAATTGTGTTAAAGCTTGCCTTTCTTTCCTGTCATTACATGAAGGCAAACCATTTCTATGACTTTATTGTTACGTGTGATGAAAAATGGATTCTTTGTGACAATTGCAAGCTTTCCGTGCAATGGTTGGATAAATGTGAAGTGCTGAAACACGGTCCAAAACCCAATATTCATCCAAAAAGGCTAATGATGTCTGTTTGTTGGTCCAGGACTGGTATTATCCACTACAGCTTCATGAAACCTGGTCATTCTATTACAGTGGATGTCTACTGCAACCAATTGGACGAAATGATGAGGATGCTTGCCATTAAGCAGTGCAGATTTGTCGACAGAGACAAGCCAATCCTCTTGCAAAACAACAGTCAACCACATGTCACACAAACAACACTCAGGCTACAGAGGCTGGACTTGGAAACTGTCATCCACTGTATTCACGAGACCTTTTACCAACTCACTACCACTTATTTCAGGCTTTGGACCCATTGCAAGGAAAAATATTCAATTCTCAGCAAGCTGTGGAAAAGGCCTTTCACGATTTCATCACCACTTGCTCTCTAGGCTTCTTCATTACTGACATAGACAAGCTACCATTACGTTGGCAAAATTGTGTGGATAATTTAGGCACATACTGAGATTTTTTTTTTTTTTTTTTTTTTTTGAGACAGAGTCTCACTCTTTTGCCCAGGCTAGAATGCCATGGCGTCAGCCTAGCTCACAGCAACCTCAAACTCCTGGGCTCAAGCAATCCTCCTGCCTCAGCCTCCCGAGTAGCTGGGACTACAGGCATGCGCCACCATGCCCGGCTAATTTTTTTTCTATGTATTTTTAGTTGTCTGATTAATTTCTTTCTATTTTTAGTAGAGACGGAGTCTCGCTCTTACTCAGGCTGGTCTTGAACTCCTGAGCTCAAACAATCCGCCCGCCTCGGCCTCCCAGAGTGCTAGGATTACAGGCGTGAGCCACTGCGCCCAGCCGACATACTGAGATTAATTGTACTGCTTCCTGTTTGAGATATAATAAACTACACCTTTGATTTGAAATCGGACATTTCATTCAATGACCTAATAAATTCAGGCATTTAAGCAGTGGTTTTCAAACATTTCGGTAAGGAAATTCTCTTCAAATAATCTTACACTCTTAAGAGTAAAGCTTCCTCTATCTTGTAAGTTTAAGCCTCAGGGAAATTGTTATAACTTAATGATTTAGAACTGTAATGTCCAGTATGGTAGGTAGTAGTGATGTGTGGCTATTTAAATTTAAATTCATTAATATGAAAGAAAACTTTAAAATCAGTGGCTTGAACCAGTGGCATGAGTAGTCTCAGCTACTTGGAAGGGTGAGGCAGGAGGATCCCTTGAGCCCAGGAGTTTCAGGGCCAGTGTGGGCAACAGAAACTTCATCTCTAAAACAAAAACAATTCAGTGGGTTGGTCACACTAGCTTTATTTCAAGTGTTCAGTAGCCACGTGGGTAGGTTGCTCTCACATTGGGTAGTATGGACAAAAAGCATTTCCATCATTATGGTAAGTTCTTTTGGACACTGCTGCTTTAGATGACGGGCTTGAGTCAGAATGCCTGTATTCAAATTCTGTTATTTTCTACTGGTGCAACCTCAAGCTGGAGGAGATCTCCAGTTATTTCCTCTAATAAATGTGTATAATATTAGTAACCATGGAGTTGTTAAATAGAAAACATTAATTAGGATATGTAAAGTATGTAAGAATAGTACATAGTGCACATGCTGCTGTTGTGTTATTATTGGAACTTCCATTACACTTCCTCATAAATCTAGGTTCATAAAAATACAGTATAAGAACCACCAATTTTTAAGGTATTAAGTTGCATCAGATTGGAATTTTATACTGTGCCTAGCATAGGAAACAGTTTGTGGTTTTTATGACTGACTTAAAAATACTTTGTTTTCCTCTAGCGAGTTGAAGAATTTCTCAGCAAAGATATCAGTTATCTTATTTCAACTAAAAAGGAAGCTAAATTGGCACAAACCTTGGGTCGAATCTCTCCTGTACCAAGTCCAGAATCTGCATTTACTGCAGAAACCACTTCACCTCATCCCAGCCACGATGGAAGTTCATTTAAGTCACCAGACACAGTAAGTCTTAACTGTGCTTTGAGACTCTCAGAAAGGCTTTAACCTGAAGATCTCATGATTTTCAGTAACAGGCTGGCAGTGGAGTTCACTTAGGTAGAGCATTCATAAAGCCACATTCTATGTGGCTTTCCAGTCAGTAATCAAGTTACTGTCTTTTAGAAAGGTGATTTTTTTTTTTTTTTTTTTAATGGTACTCGTGTAGTCATCATACCCTGATTCCTAAAGTATACCCTTTGCTTTTAAGGATGGCTTTTATTTTTTAGAGTAATTTACAACTAAAAAGTTAATAGCAGATCATTGTTTACAGGAGAAATAAAAACCTTTTTTGAAAATATTAATTTATATATACTTTTTATATATAATTTTATATATATTTTTTGAGAGAGGGTCTCACTTTGTTGCTTAGGCTAGAGTGCAGTGACTTCATCATATCTCACCACAACCTCAAACTCCTGGCCTCAAGCAATCCTCCCATCTTGGCCTCCAGAGTGCTAGAATTACAGGTGTCAGCCACTGCACCGGGCCATAAAACTTTTTTATGAGCAGGAGGTAAGCAAACTGTGGCTCACAGGCCAAATCTAACCTGCTGCCTGTTTTTATAGTAGCCTGTAAGCCAAGCATGATTTTTACATTTTCAAATGGTTGGGGAAAAAAATCAAGAGAAGAATATTTTGTGACAATTAGAAATTATATGAAATTCAGATTTCATTGACCATAAAGTTTTATTGGAACACAGCCATACCTATTCGTTTAGATATTATTTGTGATTGTTTTCATGCTTTGGGAAGAATTGAACAGCTATATTAGAAGCCATATAGCCTACAAAACCTAAAATGTATACAATCTGGCCCTTTGCATAAAAAGGTTGCCAAGCTCTGTTCTACGTATAATAACTGACATCACATTCCTACCACTCCATTGCCAATAAGTTAGAAGATACAGGAAAGGACAAATTACATTGATTTAATTGGGTGTGGGGAGGGGAAGAGATTGAGAGATAAAATGTTTAATTTATCTCATTTTTCAGATTGAAATGTAATTAGATTATTTTAAAATATCTTCCTCAACGTATCTCTTTGAAAAGCAAGGAAAATGAGGGGAAAACAAGTAGAAAAAATGAGTCACAAAGGAGATATCACTTGAAAAAGGAGACATAATACATAGAAAAGTCAAAGAAGAGACCAAGGAAGGCTTACACATTCTATTCTTTTAGTTAATGCTTTTTTGGAGCAAGGAGACAATATATTAGTTATGAGTTCCAAGGTAATTGTTGCTCATAGTGTTCAACTACTTTTCCTAGTATTTTATTTGAACAGTGAAATAACATGTAAAACACAATATATAAAGTTGATTGTTTTTCTTAAATCTTCAATTTGATAGGAGATTAAAATGTAAACCAACTAATTATAGATGGAGAATTTCAGAGGAACCTAGGTATTCTATTTTTCACCTTGAATAGCACTTAACTATAAAAGTGACCTCTTGGGTCTCATTAAGTTAAATCTAGTTGCTCCACCAAAAAAACCCAAAAACTTTTTAATAGGAGGTAAGACTCAAAAGAAATCACTTTTGACCAAATATTATTGTGTTGGTAGCCATTAAGACATGTACAAATAAAATACATCTGTTTACTTGAGCAAGTTTATCTTTTTAACGTTTTCTTCAATGAAGGACTGTTATAACTTTTTCTGTTTGTTTTTTTGGTCTTTCTGTAGGTGTGTTTAAGCAGAGGAAAATTATTAGTTGAAAAAGCTATCAAGGACCATGTAAGTGGGAGCTTTAAAAATTCACGCTGTACATTTTGTTATTAAAAACTCAACTGGAAATTATAAATATTCTTGAAATCATCTTTTCCTCATTTTTGGGAAAAGCCTAGATTTCAGCCCATTTCATTTTACAAAGAACAGAATCTGCCTTTCATGGAGAAACATCCCCATCTTGTGGCCTTTTGAAATATTACTGGAAACTTGCCTTACAGTATGCATTAAATTGTGTCAAAACATGGGTATATATTAAGTGGATTTGATTTTTAAAGTTCCAGAAGAAAATCTTAATGTCCTTCCTGCTATTGTAATTCCATGAGAGTCTTTTATAACTACCTCAGTGACATTAAGCTTTAAATAATTGAGTTTTTATTAAAATTTACCTCACCTTAAATAGTAATTTCCTAGAAAAACTATAAAACTTTTTTATTTTTTTACAGGATTTTATTCCTTCAAATAGTATATTATCAAATGCCTTATCATGGGGAGTAAAAATTCTTCATATTGATGGTAAGGATCTTATAATTTTATTTTGATAATATTATAAACACCTATGTCTATCCTTTGGTTCCCAATTTTGCATAGTTAAAATTTTTATAGCAAAAGTACCTTAGTCCGTTTTCTGTTTTTATAACAGAATACCTGAAACTGGGTAATTTATAAAGGAAAGGAGTTTATTTCTTACAATTAAGGTGGCTGAGAAATCCAAGGTTGACAGGCTACATCTGGTGAAGGCTTTCTTGCTGTGGGGGTTTGGCAGAGTTCTGAGGCCGCGCAGGGTATCATGGCGAGAGGGCTGAGCATGCTAGTTCACATCTCTCTTCCTCTTCTTTCAGAGCCATTAGTTCCAGTCATGATAACCCATTAATCCATTAACCCATTAATTTATAAATTACCTTTCAAAGGCCCCACTTCTTAATGATGTTACATAGGGCATTAAATTTCATCATGAGTTTGGGAGGGGACAAATATTTAAATGATAGCACCAGGCATACCTGTAATGGTAATTCCTTCATACAAATTTACTACAATTATAAGAAAATGTCACTGTTTAACTCCAAGGCTAAAATTGCTGATCTCAAATCTTTTTTTCTTTTAAATAAGACATTAGATACTACATTGAACAAAAGAAAAAAGAGTTGTATTTACTGAAGAAATCAAGTACTTCTGTAAAAGATGTGGTATGTTTTCTTTAATTTTTAAGCTAATTTGAAAAAGTGATAAGCTTTGTTTTATTTATGTATCTGTAAATTTTTCCTGCCAAGTAGAAAATATATTGCCAGAATATCCTAGGGATAAGCCTGTGAGTTATATGGATGTTTTTGGTATTCCAGTAAATTGTTGTGTATCACTTAACTTTAGGGTTGTACTCATGAGGTAAAAGTTGTTGGTAGGGTAATGGCAGAGGGGTTTTTTTGTTTCTTTTTTCTTCTGCCCCCCCCTTTTGGTTACTGCTATTTTTTTTTAACATATTTTGTTTATTCTGTAAAAAAACATTAAAATCAGTCTATTGCATAAGAAGTTCCTAACATAGGTAATGTATTCCTTTTTGGAACATAAATAAGGACTATACTTATTTTTCAACTACTCTAGGTGGTGGTATAACAAAATCTTGTTCTATAGTGTGGCTAGCTGGCCTGACTTTGAAATATTTGTTAAATAACCACATTGGACATTGCAATCTATTAGACATAATATTCCCATATCTTTAGCCTCTTCCATTTTCCTGGCTTTTTCATTGAAGCCTCTATACAGATTCAAGCCTTTCCATCCTATAAAACAAATGCAGTAAAACCTCTCTGATCCTACATCCCTACCTAACTACAATCCTTATAATCTCTCTCATCCAAGCTTCTCAAATCTCCACTTTTATACTTCCCATTCACCTTTCAACCTACAAGATATGAAACTTCTGACCAATTTTCCAAATCAATTTGACATTTCTTAAAACTAGGCATATTGATTCTCTCTAAGCTATTGTTCATTTCTTCCTTAAACTTTTCTATTCTCTTCTGGAATTTTTCTCATCTCTTAGCTTTCTCCTGATTCTCTTCATATTTCTCAGGCCATTCTTTTGTGGTCTGTTTTTCTTTCATTCAGTGCTTCAATGACTGGTATCCAAAAAGAAAGTAACTTTATAGGAGAATATGTGTATGAAGATAGGAAGCCATAGTAGGATGGCTTTAGAAATTTAGTATAATAAAACTTGATCTTTGGGTGAATGACAAAAGATGAAGCTGGAAAAATCAGTAAATTCAGATTATAAAGGACCTTGCACACTGTATAAAGGAGTTAGATTTTATATTGAGGATTCGGAAAATTATTGAAAGATTATAAATAGAAGAGTAACCTGATTGGATAGTCATTTTGGAAAGGTCTTCTGGTTGCAAGTAAAGAATGAATTATTTGCTGACAAGAATGACAACTGGAAAATGACTTTTGAACCCTCGAACACAATTTTCAATAGGTACATTTTACATCATGACCACCAAGTATGTGTATATCATATGTAAGGATGCCTAAGTTTCCTATCAATTTTACATTTTTAATAAATTCAAATTTACATAAGATATGACTAATTTGCAGAAAGCAACAAATTATTTCGTATTTAAATAAAATTTAATATTTGTATGTCTTATTTACAGGTAAAAATTTCAAGTGGCTATTTCCAAATTTTCACAAAATGATGAGTGGATGTGCCTATACTGGACTATGCTAAATAGCATATAAATAAACTCCACTGCGCTTTGCAGGCTGTTTGGATTGTGTATAGGAGTACATGTATAAAAAATTTAAATTCACAAGCACATTTATAGACTCTGTGAATACACACGTCATGTCTGTCTTCATGTATAAGTATATATATAGCTAAAACAAGTTTCATTAAACAATACTCTTCTTAATGTGATGCATGCCAATATTTCTGTATTATTTTCATTTCTTAAAAATACTGATTACAATTCTGCATTGACTTTACTGCCTGCTAATAGGTCACAGTCCACAGTTTTTAAAAGAAAAGCATTCTGGGATATTATGTTAGTAATTCTGAGAAATGTCAAAGGCCTGGCTTAAGGCAGGAACAGAAGGGGAGGGGAAGATTTGAAAGGTAGTTAACAGATTTCGGTGCCTTGGATCCAGTACTTACCAGGTTATAAATTTCACAAGGGCTCAGATCGTGTAATCCCCATTATTCATTCAGTATTAATAAATACTCAGTGCCCGTTATGTGCCGTGCAGTAGGAGCCCTTATAAAAAAAGAAAAATAAAATAACTGTGAATCAAATCTTACCTTTCTCCCAAAATATAAAGGATAGCAATACCAAAAACTTCTATAGTCCAGAATGTATAACTGTTTAAATTCTTTTCATTCTGAAAAATTTTATTTTAGTATATGAGAAAGTTTCTGGAAAATTTTTGGTTTGCCAAGTACTAAAACATAAAACTTTTTAACAAAATTACATTTAAAAGTCTTGAATGGACATGTATAAATCTTATACACCTAAATACATGTAAATCTCAAAATATTAGATTCTCAAAAATGTTCTTGTTAATATGTATCTGTAAAAAAATCATTTGGATAAATATATTTGCTCCACTACTTTATTTAAAGTGCTTTGTGGTTTATTTTGTTGAGGATTTTTTGCATATATGTGCATGAGGAATATTGATCTTTTCTTTCATGTCTTTGTCTAGTTTTAATGCCAGGTTTAATGCTATCCTCATAAAATGCTGAGATGTATTCCCATTTCTGTTTTCTAGACAAGTTTTTATAGAATGAGTTTTATTTCTTAAATGTTTAATGGAATTTACTGGTAAGGTTATTTAGGCCTGGAGTTTCCTTTGTTGGAAGATTCTCAACTATGAATTCAATTTCTTCATTAGATAGAGGACAATTCAGGTTATTTCTTCTTCAATGTCCTTTGATAGTTTGTTTTTCAGGGAATTTGTCCATTTTGTCTAAGTTGTCGAATTTACGGGCAAAGAGTTGTTTGTACTATTCTCTTACTAACCTTCTAATGTCTGTGGGGTCTGTTACGATGTCCCCTCTTTCATTCCTGATACTACTATTTTGTGTCTACTCTTTTTTTCCCCTTGGTCATCCTGGCTAGAGTTTTACCAATTTTATTAATCTTTTCAAAGAATTCAGAGAACCAACTTTTAATTTCATTGATTTTTCTCTCTTTTTTTGTTTTCAATTTTGTTTATTTTTGCTATTTCTTCTGCCTATTTGGGGTTTAATTTTGTGGTTTCTTAGGGGTAAGAAGCTTGGATTCATTGATTTGAGACTTTTCTTTGCTAATATGAACACTTAATGCGGTATATTTTCTTTAAGCTCTCCTTTACCTGAACGTCACACGTTTTATGTTGGATTTTTTTTTTTAAATAGATTTTATTTTTTAGAGAAGTTAGGTTCACAGCAAAATTGAGTGGAAGGTACAGAGACTTCACATATACCCTTATCTCCAACATATGTACATCTTTTACTACCAACATCCCACACCAGAATGGTACATTTGTTACTATCAATGAGCTTATGCTGGCACGTCATTATCACCCAAAGTCCATAATTGACATTTGTGTTCACTCTTGGTGTTGTATATTCTATGGGTTCTGACAGGTGTATGATGGTAACATGTATCCACCATTATGGTATCATACAGAATAGTTTCACTGCCCTATAGATCCTCCATGTTCTGCCTGTTCATTCCTCCTTCTTCAGTCCCTGACAACTACTGATCCTTTACTGTTTCCATAATTTTTACTTTTCCATAGAATCATATAGTTGAAATCAATACAGTATGTAGTCATTTTAGATTGGCTTCTTTCACTTAGTAATACTCACTTAAGTTTACTCTGTGTTTTTTCATGGCTTGATAGCTCTTTTTATTTTTTAGTGCTGAGTAATATTTCATTGTCTGGATGTATGACAGTTTATCCATTCTCCTATGGAAGGACATCTTGGTTGCTTCCAGGTTCTGGCAGTTAAGCATAAAGCTACTATAAATATCCACGTGCAGCTTTTTTTGTGGGCATAAATTTTCAACTCATTTGGGTAAATACCAAGGAACATGACTGATGGATCGTACAAGAATGTTTAGTTTTGTAGGAAACTGATAACTGTCTTCCATAGTGGTTGTGCTATTTTGCATTCCCACCAGCAACGAATGAGAGTTCCTGTTGCTGATACGTTAGATTTTCATTTTCAGTTAAAAGTTTTTTTTTTTTTTTTTTTTGAGACAGAGTCTCACTGTGTTGCCCGGGCTAGAATGAGTGCCGTGGCGTCAGCCTAGCTCACAGCAACCTCAAACTCCTGGGCTCAAGTGATCCTCCTGCCTCAGCCTCCTGAGTAGCTGGGACTACAGGCATGCGCCACCATGCCCGGCTAATTTTTTCTATATATTTTTAGTTGTCCAATTAATTTCTTTCTAATTTTAGTAGAGACGGGGTCTCGCTCTTGCTCAGGCTGGTCTCGAACTCCTGAGCTCAAACAATCCGCCCTCCTCGGCCTCCCAGAGAGCTAGGATTACAGGCGTGAGCCACTGCACCCGGCCCAATTAAAAGTATTTTTAAATTATTCTTGTAACTTACTCTTTGTCCTGTGAGTTATTTGGAGTTACACCATTTGTTTCCAAATAATTGGGGATTTCTAGCTATCTTTCTGTTACTGATTTCTATTTTAACTCTGTTATTGTCAGAGAACATGCTTTGTATGATTTTACTTTTAAAAATTTGTCAGGATTTATTATCCAGAATATAGATTATCTTGGTGCATGTTCCATGTGCAGTTGAAAAGAATGTACATTCTGTTGCTATTGGGCGGAGTGTTCTTTAGATGTCAGTTAAATCAATTTGGGTGATAGTGTTGCTTAGATATTTTATAACCCTAATGATTTTATGTCTTGTTCTGTCTGCTACTGAAAGAGAGGGGTATTGAAGTTACCAAGTATAATTGTGGATTTATCTATTTTTCCTTTTAGTTCTAGTACAGTTTTTTGATTCATGTATTTTGAAGCCTGTTTGGTGTGTACATATTTAATATTCTTATGTCTTCCTTGTGAACTCAACCTTTTATCTTTGTATAATGCCCTATCAATCCCTGTTGACATTTTTTGTTCTGAAGTCAGCTCTGTGGTAAGATAGGCACTCCAGCTTTCTTTTGATTAATATTTACATGATATATCTTTTTGCATCCTTTTACATTTAACGTATCTATATCTTTATATTTGAAATGGATTTCTTATAGATCATATTTTCATCAAATTTCGTAATCTGTCTTTTAATTGGTGTAAGTGATTTGTACTTAACGTAATTAGTGATATGATTGGATTTGGGCCTAATAATTTACTATTAGTTTTCTGTGGATGATGGCATTTTTATTTTATTAATCTGCTTCCCCTTTCCTGCCTTTTTCCAGATTGTTTGAAGGTTTATCTATCAGCTTTTCTACTTTCTCTCTTCATTTTGGGGGTAGGGGATGATTGTTTTGTTTTAGTGATTGCTATAAGAATTATGATATATATGTGTAACCTTTTACAATCTATTTAGAATTAATGTTTGATCTTCTTCAAATGAAATGTAGAAACCTTAAAGCTGTTCAAGCACTGTTACTCTTCCTCATCAAACTTTGTTATAGCGTTTATTACATATGCTTCTAAAGAAAATGCCACCTGACAATGTTAAACTTTTGCTTGAAAAGTCACACATTTTAAAGAGCTTAGGAGGAGAAAAATAGTCCTATTTACTCTTTCTTCTTTCTACTCTTCCTTCATTCCTGAAATTACAAGTTTCCCTCTGATGTTATTTTCTTTTAGTCTGAAGAACTTCCTTTAGCATTTTTTTTGGAGCAGTTCTGCTGGCAGTCAATTGTCTTATATATCTTTCATGTGAGGGTATTTTCACTGGAGAAAATAGTTATGAATTGAGAGTTCTTTATTTCAGTACTTTACTCTTGTTCTGCAACTATCTTCTGGCCTCCATGGATTCTGATGAGAAATCTGCAGTCATTTAAATTGTTCACTTATATATGATGTATCATTTTTCTGTAACTGCTTTTAAGATGTTTTTGTTTAATCTTTAGTTTCCAAAAGTTTGATTGTGATGTGCCTAGGCATGGTTTAGTTTGAAATTATTCTGTTTGTGGTTCACTAAGCTTCTTGAATCTGTAAATTTATGTTTGGAAAGTTTTCAGCTATTAATTTTTTCTTCTTCTTCACCAATCTTTCTTCGCTTTCTGCAATTCCAGTAACACTAAAGTTGCATATCTTAACGTTATCCCACAGGTCCTGGGAGCTCTGTTTCTTTCCTGTCCCCCTTCCCGGTCTTTTTTGTTTTTCTCTTCCAATTGGGGATTTTTGTTTATTTGTCTTCACGTTCACAGACACTTCACTGTCATCTATGTTCTGTTATTAAGTCCTTCCAGTGAATTTTCTATCTCAGATAATGTAATTTTTAGTTTTACAATTTGTTTGATTGTTACTTATAGTTTGTTTTTCTCCTGAGAACTTATATCTTTCCATTCATTTTAAGCATGTTTACCTTTACTTTTAAAGTCTTTTTCTGATAATTCTGACATCAGGAATATCTTGGGGTTGGCATCTGATTATCTTTTTCCCTCAAGGATTGATCATATTTTCTTGGTTTTTTTAAATGTCAAATAAGTTTTAACCGTATACTGGAAATTGTAAATGTTATATTTGTATAGGCTCCGGATCTATTATAATAGTCTGGAGAGTGTTGATTTTATTTCAGATGTTATTGTTTTAGCAGGCAGTCATCTCAGTTTTGTTAAGACTGTTCTGTCTCAGTTTTTGTGGATGGTATTTCTAATCTCAGTTTCAAGTTTTCAAAGACTTGCTTGCAGCTTTGTGTTTGTCCTGCATACACACCACATACAGGTTAGTCTAAGATTCAGGCAGTGGTTTATATCTTAGTTCCATTTTCAAAGCTCCTGCTATTTTGCTTTGGGTCTGTCCTTAGCATGTGCAACGTGGAGTTAAGCCTTGCACTTGTGTCGATTTATACAGGGAATTAGGGATCCTCTTCTCCACCGTGCTCCTTTCTTGGATTTCCTCCTCGATCTCCAGTCCACAATGGCCCTTTTCCCAGTTCCTCTAGTCAGGCAGTGAGAGTTTCTCAGTTTTAACTGCTCATGCTACCTTTATAATTGCAGCTTCCTAAGGGGCCCAACCCTCAGAGCAGAACTGTGGTAAGAAGAGAAATAAATAATAAAGGGATTCTTTTGGTATTCTTTGGACAACTAAAACCTCTTTCCTGATTCTTCCAGCCAAAAAGAGGAAGTTTGTATAGGATTTGTAGCTGCTGGCTCTGCTACTGCTGCCGACTCCATGACTGGAGGTCCAAGTTATGACTCCCTTCCACAATCTGCCTGCCTATTTTACTTTTCATTCTTCAAGTAGCTATTAATTTAATGTTGTGTTTTTAGTTGTAATCAATGGGGTTGATTGCCCATATTGGATGTATTTCCTCTTGGCCTGAACTGACAAACTAATAAACTTTTGACTAATTTCTATATTCAGTTTAACAGAAAAGTTTTGCTGAATAAGGTATAAAAATAACTTATATGATTCTTTTTAGATTATTTCATCAACTGTACCTTTTTATTATTAGTTGATTTCCTATGAAGGCAAAAACAATTATACCTAGAATGCAAGGTATGTTGTTGGGTATAATATAAAACTGAGGTTCTACTATTTTATTCTACACTAATTGTTAAGATTTTTAGTACTTGAATGATCATTGTTTAATTTCTTTGGTGGAGTTTATTTTAAAAGTCAGGGTTTTTTTTTTTTTTTACAAAATATTTATTCTGATAAAGTATGTTTTCTATATGATTTTTTTTAATTGAGAGGATATTGAACAATTGCAGTTGCTATTTTCACTGTACTTTTAAACCCAGATTTTTCACTATATTTATTTTTTTTAGGGGAAAAAAGTTGGTATTGGAACACAAAAAACAAGTAAGTATTTTGATACCTTTAACTGCGTTTGGTTTGCTTTTGGAAAAAAGAACAAATCATATAAAGATCTTCTAAAGTCATGTAAACAGCACTTTAAATGATTTATTCAGGGGTTTCTTGGTTTTTAGAACATGGACCCCATGACAGTCTAGTGAAGCCTATGGACCCTCATCTTCAGAATAATGTTTTTAAAAACATTTGTTTAAAAGTCATTGGATTGGCAGGAAAATAATTACATTAAAATTCAGTTATCAGAGTAGTTTTTAATTATAAAATAGTGATATACTTGCTGCTTATTACACATTAAAAACAAGTTCTAGTAGTGATTCTAATTGCAACTGTCATTTTGAATTGATAAGCATAAATGATGCTTTCAGATATGTGTAATAACTAATAATGATATGAAAATATCTGTTGCTTCCATTGGTATCAAAGTAACAGGTACTGCTAATACTACTGTGATTTGTTGCTTACACTTACAATCGGAGGAAATGTTACATTTCAATTAGAAGTTAGTGAAAATAAAAGTGCAATTTTTTCCTGTTCCAATTTATGATCCTCTTGAATCCTATTCATTTGAGGGCTCCATTCAGTTTAAGAATCTCAGAATAAAGGCAGAGCTTCTCTTATTTTTGGAAATGGGGTGATAACGGAGAATACCTCACCTAAGACTTACGGGTTTGAAATGGATACATAGTTGTTTTTTAGTTTGGGGGGTTTTTGCCAGAGTGGTTTTATTTGTTAAAAAAAAAAAAGTCCTGGATTTGCAAGTATCTAATATGTTTTCTATGTTCTCAAGCAGGAAGACTGAAAAAGCCTTTTGTAAAGGTGGAAGATATGAGCCAGTAAGTATCTAAGTCCAATACTGCTAATTTAAGTACAGTATTAAAGGAGAAAATCTTCTAACAAATTAAGCTAGCTCCATTAATACCATTAGGTTCCTTTATGTTAGATTTATATTATACTAATTTTCATGTAGGACTAGTTACAGAATGTAGCATTAATTCATTTGTGCTCAAGGACCGAATTTACTTTCAGTATGTTGAAGATATCTCATTGAAATATCTGGTTGAGAATAGTCAGACCTTTTTTTAGTATTCAAATAATCATTCTCTGGCTAAAGGGAGTACCAGACAATTTAGAACTACTACTTAAAGATTGCTCCTACCTTTGTGAAAAAGAAATTAGATTCTATTTAGAAATACAAAATCTGAATATAACATCTAACATGGTAGATTTCCAAAACTCACTCTGCAGTTTTGTAGGATAATCTTAATGAAGGCTACAGATATAAATAAATTAGTTTGGTGTGGGAGAATTAGATTACTTTATTTTCCAGTTACTCCTTTAGACATGCGTGGTTAATTCTCTTGGGTGCTCACCCTGAGATGATAAAGGTGTATTGAAAGTTTTTTATGAAATGTGTTACTGTGAAGAAAAAATGCAATTCAAAATGAGGCCTGATGAAGAAACCAATAAAAGATACATCATGTTCATGGATTGGAAGACTTCATATAGTTAAGATGTCAATACTATCCTGAGCAATCTACAGGTTGATTGCAACCCTTATCAAAATCCCAATTTTTTTGCCAAAATAGAAAAATTCATCCAGAAATCATGGAATTTCAAAGGTTACTGAATACCCAAAGTAATCTTTAAAAAGAACAACAAAATCGGAGTCTCACAGTTATTTGAAAACTAACTACAAAGCTACAGGAATCAGAACAATTTGGTATTGGCATAAAGACAGATATACAGACCAATGGAATAGGCTAGAGAGCCCGGAAATAAACCATTATATGTATGGTTAAGTGATTTTTAACAAGGGTATAAAGATCATTCAGTGGGGAAAGGACAGTCTTTTCAACAAATGATATTCACAAAACTAGATATCCACATGCAAAAGAATGACGTTGGACTCTTACTGTACATCATATACAAAAATTAACTCAAAATGGATCAGAGACATAAAACTCCTGGAAGAAAACACAGGGGGAAAGCTTCATGACATTGGATTTGGCATTGGTTTCTTGTATATCGTACCAAAAGCACAGGCAACAAAAGATAAAAAATTAATTGGACTATATCAAAATTATATTAGGTTATTAAGTATCAAATGTCTGATTTCCTTAAGTGTACTAAGTTTGACAGTTGGTGTCTCTGATGTACCACTTTGACACTTCTTGTTTTATGTTTATTGTGAAGTTACATCCTCAATCTTTCAAATACATGTTTTGGCTTGCGATTATCTCAGATTTTTTTTAGAGCAATTTTTGTGAAATCCTGGATTAGTCAAAAATTTACGTTGTATTTTCTCTTTTTTTAAAATTCATGTTATTTTCGAATGAGTTCTGTCATGGAACCAATGCAGCACTGATAGCTCAAAGTATCAATGAAGTATTTGGAAAGGATGTGACTAATGAGTGCATAGTATGTCGATGGTTTGAGAAGTTTTGTTCTGATTTTAATCTTGAAAATGAGCCACGTGGGTGACCTGAAACCAAGGTGGAATAATGATGAGCTGAAAGCTCTGGTGGAAGCAAATCCATCCGAACCTACATGTGAATTAGCAGCAAGGTTTGACATTACTATTCCAACAATATTGGACCATTTGAAACAAACTGGCAAGGTAAAGAAGCTGGATAGATGGGTTCTGCATGAATTAAAAAGCCTCAGAGGAGAAATTGTCTCGAAGCTTGCCTTTCTTTGCTGTCACGACATAAAGGCAAACCATTTCTACAACGTATTGTTACATGTGATGAAAAATGGATTCTTTTTGACAATCACAAGAATTTGGCACAGTGGTTGGATAAAGATGATGTGCCGAAATACAGTCCAAAACCCAGTATTTATCCAAAAAAGCTAAATGGTGTTTGTTTGGTGGTCCAGCACTGGTATTATCCACCACAGCTTCATGAAACCTGGTCAATTACCGTGGATATCTACTGCAACCAGTTGGACGGAATGATGAGGGTGCTTGTGATTAAGCAGCCAAGATTGGTTAATAGAACCAATCCTCTTGCAAGATGCTTAATTACATGTCACACAAACAGTGCTGCTCAGACTACAGAGGCTGGACTTGGAAACTCTGTCATCCACCATATTCACCAGACCTTGTACCAGCTGACCACTTCTTGCAAGGAAAAATACTCAATTCTCAACAAACTGTGGAAAAGGGCTTTCTTTAACGATTTCATCACCACTCCCTCTCCAGGCTTCTTCACTACTGGCATAAGCAAGCTACCGTTAAGATGGCAAAACTGTGCTGATAGTTTAGGTATATACTTTGATTAAGTGTACTGCTGCTTGTTTGAGATACAATAAATTACACTTTTGATTCGAAATAGGACATTTTATATTTAATGACTTATTAAATTTCTGTGCTTCAAGGGATGCAGTACAGTAAAAAGGGATTAAACAACCTGATTAAAAAAATGGGCAAATCACTGAATAGACATTTCTCCAAAGATGAAGTACAAACAGCCAAATGCATATGAAAAGATGTTCAACATCACTAATCATTGGAGAATTGCAAATCTACACCACAATGAGATACCACTTCACTTTCATTAGGATGACTACTATCAAGAAAAAAACCATAATACCCAAAAGGTAGAAACAACCCAAGTCCATCAGCAGATGAATGGATAAACCAAATGTGGGGGATATGTATACGTGCACACATATACTCTCTTTCAATGGAATATTCAACCTGAAAAAAGAATGAAATTCTGACATGTGCTTTAACATGGATGAACCTTGATGACATCGTGTTAAGTGAAATAAGAGAAAAAATGCTGCATGATTCCACTTAAATGAAGCACCTACAATAGTCAAATTCATAAGAACAGGAAGTAGAATAGTGGTTGCAAGGGACTAGGGGGAAAGGAGGTATGGGGAGTTAACCATTTGGTGGGTACAGAGTTTTGGTTTTTGCAAGATGAAGAGAGTCCTGGAAGATAGATGCTGGTGGTGATGGTTCCAAAGCACTGTGAATACTTAATGCAGTTGGATTGTACACTTAAAATGGTTAAGATAGCAAATTTTTCATGTTATATTTTGCCACAATTTAGATACTGTTTTTAAATGTTAAAATTTAGGCCTAGAAATTGGTTTTTTGAAGGGAAGCCTGATTCCTATTGCTTATTTCATATTCCAGCTGAATTATACGATTTTGAAATGTAAAACTTTAAAACTTGTTTTCTTTCATCATAGAGAATCTCATGTATTTGTCTTTTTATTCTTTTAGACTTTATAGGCCATTTTATCTTCAGCCGACCAGTATGCCTTTTATAAATTATTCTATTCAGAAGCCTTGCAGCCCATTTGATGTAGATAAGCCATCTAGCATCCAAAGACAAACTCAGGTTAAACTAAGGTTGGTTTGAATCTTTATTTTTAGAAGTAATGTTATTTAGAATATCATCTCAAGTAATTTTTCTTTTTAAACAAACATTTGTAAATAGTTCATTTTAGGCTATGATGGTGGTTTGTGTTTCTAATTATTCTGGTTACTTTTGCCCTGTATATTTTTAATCCCTCTGTGCTAAATTTGAAGTCTGAATCTGTTTTAAGTGTCATATGTAGACAGATTTGGGAGTCAGGGGCATAAAATATTTGCAAATAATGAAAATGTGTTATTTCTCTTGGGTGATCTAAAATATTCTCCAGAATATTCATTATATTCTTTGCTTAATTTCTTAAAATGAAATGTGATGAAAAATATTTGCTGATACAAATCTTGGTGCAAATTATGGCAGATTCTGTATATGATGGGTCAGGACAATAACTTTTAAAAATTATTCCTTAGGTTCAGCAATTCTTTTACTATGTATTTCTATCATCAGAATCCAAACAGATGGTGATAAATGTGGTGGAACCCCAATCCAGCTCCAGTTGAAAGAGAAGAAAAAAAAGGGATATTGTGAATGTTGCTTGCAGAAATACGAAGATCTCGAAACTGTAAATGTGATTTTATATTTAAAGGATTGATGTCTCTAAAACGCTAATATTTACCATTTAAATTTTAGCTTATTCTTCTGATAGTGGTTTACAACCTAATAATTTTAAGTAGTGTATTTTTCTTTTTGATAGAAATACCTTAAATTTTAAGACCTCAAAGGGGGAAATGAATATTTATAAATCATTTTTATTCATTCAACAAATATTTATTGAGCACCTACTGTGTACTGATCACTACAGTGGGTGTACAGAATTGAACAAATTTCCTACCCTTGTGAAGGTTACATTCTGGGGAATGGTAGTACAGGTGGAGATAGGTCACAGGATAATAGAATAATCAGGTTGGGTATGGTGGCTCACATCTATAATCTCAGTACTTTGGGAGGCTGAAATGAGTGGATCACTTGAGGCCAGGAGTTCAAGACCAGCCTGGAAAACATAGGGAGACCCCATCTCTACAAAAAATAGAAAAATTAGCCCAGGAGGCTTAGGTAGGAGGATCACTTGAGTCCAGGAGTTTGAGGTACAGTGAGCTATGACGACACCACTTCCCTCATGTCTGGGCAACAGAGTGGGACCCTGTCTCCAAAAAAAATAAAATTCTGTCTTCAGACTCTAAATTGAAGTTTGATTGTTTTATAACTTAAAATTAGTGTTTTGTATGTTGTTTCATTTCTGTTAATAAAGAAGAAAAATATGATTAGTTTAAGATTGCTTTTAATTGGAAGCTAGAGTTAGCTCAGAAATATTTCCCCTTCCCAAAAATCATTTTGAACACTAAAATTACAGATCGGTCCTGAAATTTTACTTTTCATTGTACCAATAGAATGATCTAGAATGGCTGCTTTCATTAATATTAGTTTGTGATCCTAATTTGATGCTCAGAAAATGTTGAGGCTAAAAAACAAAAACATTGGCCACTGATTGCCACAAAGAAGGAAAATTAGTAAAAGTAGATGTTGGGATGGAAATTTAAGATCATATTTTTAGGTTTTCATTTACATTTTTCTTAGTTACTGAAAATAAAGAAAATATTCTTTTGTTTTTTGAATCTTTGAGTACTGGAGGTAAGGCAACAAACAAGGCAGACATTCCCTACCTTTATGCATGTATAGTCTGGCAGAGAAGATAGATATAAAGTATGTATTTGCAAGTGTGATGAGTGTCACAAAAGTGAAGAATAAAGGGCAATAGTGATAAAAAATGAGGTTGCTTAACCTAGTATGATGGTCATAGAAGGCCCAACTGAGAAAGTGACTATTAATCAAGACCTAAAGGATGAGTAAAACAACTAAATAGAGGTAGAGGGGAACTATACAATAGTTGGGGATTTTTTTCCTTCCCAGAACATGAATAATGTATATTTATGACATAGCTCATTCTTTTTAGTTCCATTATAAACATACATTAGTACTTGACATTCCTCACTGAAAAATGAAAGACTATAAAAACCACAGTAGTTTTACTGGTTTCTCAGAAGTTATTTTTATTTTACTTCTTAACATCCTTTGAAGTCTAATAAAGAGTATTTTCATTTGAGACCAGCCTGGGCAAGATAAGTGAAACCCTGTCTCCACAAAAAATTTTAAAATAAGCCAGGCGTGGTAGAGCACACCTACAGTCCTAGCTACTCAGGAGGCTGAGGCAGGAGGATCTCCTGACCCCAGGCGCTTGAGGCTGCAGTAAGCTATGATCAAACCACTGCACTATATATTTTACTGTGTATTTCTATTACCAGAATTCAAACAGATGGTGATAAATGTGGTGCAACCCCAATCCAACTCCAGTTGAAAGAGAAGGAAAAAAAGGGATATCGTGAATGTTGCTTGCAGAAATATGAAGATCTCGAAACTGTAAATGTGATTTTATATTTAAAGGATTGATGTTTCCAAAACTCTAATATTTAAGAGCAGAACAAGACCCTGTCTCAAAAAAAAAAAGTATTTTCTTTAGAGTAGTTATTGCAGACCTAATTTTGGGGACATGAAAATGTTAGTTAAACCTGAACAAAATGGCATCTGTTTTTAAAATACAATTTTTTATGACATAAGCTTTTTTATTTTGTTTTAGCACCTTCTAAGTGAGCAACACAGAAACTTTGCACAGAGTAACCAGTATGAAGTTGTTGATGACATTGTATCTAAGTTAGTTTTTGACTTTATGGAATATGAAAGGGACACACCTAAAAAAAAGAGGTAATTTTTCAGCCTAATTTCAAATTCTACTAGAATATTAAACTCAAAATAAATCCAAAGTTTGCCTGTTCTTAGAAGGAATATATATTTTTAGGATGTAAATATGGTTAAGAACTAATAACTTCTTCTTTCCTCTTTTCTCACTATCAAAAGTGCTTACCTTAGATTACTTTTAGTCTTCTCCTGTCTTGATACTATAGTTTAGAAGGAGTTGGCAGACTTTTTCTGTAAAGAGCCAGTTAGTTAATATTTTAGGTTTTGTGAGCCATAAGCTCTCTGTTGCAACTACTCAGCTTTGCTATTGTACAGTGGGTGTGGCTGTGTTCCAATGAACTGTATTTAGAAAAATAGACAAGACTAGATTTTTTTGTCCACAGGCTGTATAGTTTGTCAACCTCTGGTCTAGAACCATATCATCTACTCAGACTAAAAAGGTTTACACAACTTTTAGTTAATCTTAAGAAGTTTTAAGAAACCTTCCTACACTTGCCTTTATTAAATTTTCTTTATACTTTCACTAAATATTTCTGCCTAAACCTTACTAGCTGAGAATATTTACTAAAGGTACTGAAAGGACTTTTGAGTGTGAATACAATGCTGTATAATAACTGCACATCGGCAGAAATTGTCCCGATTAGATTATTCTCATAAATCTAAAATTCAAAGAAATGTTTTCATGTGGATATACCGTAGAGTTGGTGGTAACTCAATAGGTTATTCAGTCATTATTTTTAGACTAATCTTAAGGCATGAGGCAGATTAGATGTGATACTAAGGTGTATACCTTCTGAAAATTAACTAGAAAGTTTTTTGACTCTTACCTAGGTAGAACATTTCTTAAATCCTGTATTTCTGTAACATTCAGAATGGTTTCGTGGCTGATTTAATAAAATGGCATTTGAAGAGGAGGCATATTTCCAACTATTAAAGCTGTGCGGGCTACTATAAGAATTTATAACTCGCTAAAATCCCAGTCTGCAGCAAAATTCTGAACTAGTAATTATATTTATTAGCTGGTTATTCCTTAATTATCTTATTTTTATCTGTGCTATTTTTACCTCTGTGGGCAAGTCTCCTAAACAACTCTGGACTTAAGAGAGCCATGTTGGACAACATCTTTTATCACCCATTTATTCAGAGGGAATCATAAGTAAAGGTATGAAGAAAATAAATATGAGAGGAACCATTCTGGTTAAAGGGAAAGGCAAAATTATATATTTCTCAGACTTACAGGGTCTGTGACATGTATAACATAAAACGTAATTGGTGAGCTGTTAATATTCATAGATTTGTATATAATTTGAGATTGTATAATACAAACTGGCATCTCAAGGATATCAGGGTACTCCATGAAGAATTTAGGTCAAATATGCATGTGAAACTTAAGGATTACTATTTTGTCACCTTTAAAAGTATAAAGATACTAAATTCTAGCTTACTTTGATATTAAATATTTTATCCTTGAATACAAGTAAGAAATAAGTGTGTATTTCTGCCTTAGGTTTCCCAATAAATAAATACTCATTCTTCACATGCTAAGTAAAATGAAGAGTAAGGTGTGCATTAGTGTAAATCAAAGAACAAAAGTTAATGAAATTTTTCAGGATAATGAAAACAAAATTAGTGGAGGGCCCCAATCCCTTTACTATCATCTTCCTTTGCTTTACTTGATTAAACTAGTTTTAAACACCAAATTCAGGATATTGGTTATCTCTGGGAGGGAAGAAAAGAATGTGGATGAGAAGAGAGGTACACTGGAGTTTTCAGCTATATCTGTAAAATTTTACTACTTTAAAAACATCTAAAGTAAATTTCACAAAATGTTAAGATTCCTGTATTTCTAAGTTAAATAGGTTTCTTAAAGAGTTTAAAAGATGTTTTTACTAATTTAATAATCTAACTAAGCAATTTGTTTTGATAGCAATTATTTTAATTTTTTTTCCTATAAAGAGTAAAATACAGTGTTGGATCATTTTTTCCCATTTCTGCAAATGTCCTGAGAAAGACTGAACCAAAAGGAAAACTAGAATTGCAATATATTTCTCAGAAGGACTTCAGGGAAAATACTGTACAGGTGATGGAGCAGAATTTTCTGTGTAAAGAGATCCGGGATCCTGGACAAAAGCTTATGTTTATTTCAGATTCCATCCCCTACCCTTTAAATGAACTGAGAGGAGCAAATGAGAAAACAGCGAATAAATGTTCCATGTTAGATCCAGTTGAAAGTGACATAAAACAGAATTTTACACAGCTACCTTCATATAAAAATAAACAGGAATGGAATCTTGACATTTCGGAACATAAATTAATTGTAAATGAAAATGACTTGGAAGAACTAAGAGTAGATGCCTGTCCTTATAGTCGACAGACATCTATACATGTTCCTAATTTCAACATGGATAATAGTGCATCGCAACTAAACCAACAGTCAGATACTATGCTTTTTCCAGCAAAGGATCTGAAGGGAAAGGACCTTCATTCAATATTTGGTCATGATTCTGGTCTGATAACAAACAGTTCACAAGAACACCTAACAATTCAGGCAAAGACTCCATCCCATAGTCCTCCTGAGGAACCCAATGAATGTGACATCAAGAATATGGATAGTTTACCTTCTGGTAAAATCCATCGAAAAGTCAAAATATTATTAGGACGAAATAAAAAAGAAAATCTGGAACCAAATACTGAATTAGATAAGAAAAGAACTGAATTTCTTATTACACAAGAAGAAAACAGAATTTGTAGTTCACCAGTACAGTCTTTACTGGACTTGTTTCAGACTAGTGAAGAGAAATCAGAATTTTTGGGTTTTACAAGCTACACCGAAAACAGTAGTATATGCAATGTTTTAGATATTTGGGAAGAAGAAAGTTCAAATAATCTATTGTCAATGCTTTTCTCTTCCCCTTCGACTTCTACATTTACTGGCTTTTAGACCTTAATGTATGCTTTTAAGAAGTGACGAGGATGATATTCTTGAAATTTTTATAAAGATGTATAAAAATTCTTAGGATTTTTTTGCCAACTTTGTTTACAGAACCAAATGTAAATATTAACAATAAAGGTAATGTTTGCAATTTTCTACAGAATTGAGTATTATACAAAACTTACAGAATAAACGTGTGACTTGTCTTATTTTACATACTATGTTCATAATTGTCCAGAGAATTATAATATTCTTTGCTTTATGTCACTGAAAACCAATTTCAAGTGAAATTTTGAAATAGCAATAATTTAGCGCTTTAAATTTGGATATTCTAGTTATGTACCGTCATTTTACAATAGATTCCCATGTTAACACAACATTATTGCCCTTAAAAACCTAAGTTTCAAACAGAAAGGAAAAATGTGTTAATTTCTATATTTGAATTCTGGAAGTCATTACCAGAAACATTGTCACTTGAGGGTGACCCATTTTGGACCATTTTAGTATTTTATCCCTGAAGTTAGATTACCTGTAGGGATAGCTAGAAGCCATGAAGGGAAAACTTAACCAGACTACCAAATGGAATATAATTTTTCTGCTATTCTTAATTATTTTTAATTATTTGCCTTTGTAAATAACTGAGAATAATTTCATTCAAAAATTGACTCTTTACCCCCTAATTTGCTATTGCAGGATGAAAGAGGAAGGATGGCATTAAACTGTAGATATAGTTTGGAATATATATGAGGAATTGCCTTGATCTGGCTCTTGTAGATACAATAATTTGGAGAAGGGAAAATTCAAATGTAAGAAAAATGTCAACTTGCATCTGTGGACATAAGGCATTTGCCTTTGAATATATTCTTATAGGAGTAAGGTATTTACAACCAATGACATTTTTTCACAGTAAAAAATTGGTGCCATTTAATATTGCATAAATACATTTTCACTAAAAATTACCTTTGGTTACCAGTCTTAATTTTTTGAAATCATATATAGCTCTCAATATAGGATTGTTCATATCCTTTCATGTATGTATTATTTTGACCATGTGGACAATGTCAATGAGAAATTCTGGCTTTTTAACAGCTCTATTGTTCATACCAGTACCTTAAGTAGGATCAATTGAAAGAGTCTTAACAGTGCATATATGCAAACCGTGTTTCCATTGTAAACTACTATTGTACTACTTTTTGTCACAAAAAAGGCATGTGTGTGTATGAGAATCTGTGTCAAGTTTTGTAGACAGCCTTCTAAAAATCTAATGAAACTTGGAAAATTATTTGTAGAAGGCTTTTTTCCCCTTTAGTTATTATCTACATTCCCCCAGGTTTTTCAAATAATTAAAAGGTATCAACCTCAAACAGTCTTTACAGTTTGCTGTGGTACTCTTTGCCCCACAATTGTTTGGCATCATTTTGCTTTCGTTTTATTTAATGAGAAAAAAAGACTCAATCCGAATCCTCCAGTAGTTAAAGTTGTTAAACTTTATTTTGACACCATTTTTGAACTATTATTTTGAACACTGGGCTTTTAAAAAATGCTTAGATTTCAGTTTATTTGGGCAATTCTACAAATTTTAGCAGGACCACCACATAGAGTTTTATACAGGTTGTGCTCTGCAGATGGGCACCCAGCCAAGAAGATGATGCATTGAGCCTGTATCCTCCTAGAGGTAGAAGTACTTTTTCCTAATTTTTGTCAAGGGACATTTGAGGTGTTTACCCAGAGGGTGCCTTTTTGTTTTTGTTTTTAAATTCTCTAACAGTATGAATTTTGGTTTGGTTCCCAGATTTGCTTACAAAAGGACACTTAATCTTTAGTGTAGCAAGGTATCTTCAAAAATAGGAATCTTCAAAGATTCCTCAGCAAGGTACTCTTGGTTTGCTTGATAGAAAGCGACATGCTTTGCCAAAAGAGTCCAGACGAATAACAAGAAATCCCCAGCAAGCAAAGGATAAGCAGAATTCTGTGATACCAAAAGCACTGAAGTTGAGAAAGGTGTTAGGAAAGAAAAAAAAAACAGGCACCCTGATTAAATTTCAGCTAAGGGCAGCAGATAGTAACACATTCAAAGTTGGCTCTGTTTTTCTAAGGGTAGCTATTAATGGAAATAGCAACAGGGAAGACAATGTGATTTTGTGACTCAAAAATGAAAGGAATGTTTATTTTTCCAAGATGACAAATACGCAATTGTAGCAAAAAGTGTATTTTACACAAATCAGTATAATCTCTTAAATGTTTTTGAAGCCAGTGACTTCTTTGCATGGATCGTTTAATATGTCTAATATTTAAAATAATTTATGGAACCATATATATAGATGTTTCTAATTCTAATGTTTGTAATTTGTAGAGAACCCAAATGAATGTAAAAACAAAATGTACTTACCTTTAAAAGAGGGATAGAAAAGAAAGGACTTTAGGTGTAAGACTTTTACCTAAAACCACTGAACTTGAATCCTTATTTATGCAAATGTAGGATTACTATATGTTATTATATGAGAATTTGGAGGTTTTTTTTAAGCACTTTGTCGCCAGGATGGATGTATAGTTAATACTACTCTGCTATCTAAAAGATTTATTAAAATAATTGATAAATATTACTCATTTAAATGTTGTCAATCTCTATAGATGTAGTTTTGATCGTGAGACCAAAGATAGTTTTATGTTCCACTTTTCAATCAGAAATCATTCCAATGCTGTTTCATTAATAAAGTCAAATGTGAGAATTATCGGCCCCCTCCTATAGTAGATGGGAAGATTCTTAAGCATAATTATGTAAACTAGGCCTGTTGCAGTGGCTCACACCTGTAATCCTAGTGCTCTGGGAGGCTGAGGCAGGAGGATCACTTGAGCTCAGGGGTTTGAGACCAGCTTGAGCAAGAGTGAGACCCTGTTTCTATTAAAAATAGAAAAAAATTAGCTGGGCATGGTAGTGCGCCTGTAGTCCTAGCTACTCAGGAGGCTGAGGCAAGAGGATCGCTTGAGCCTAGGAATTTGAGGTTGATATGAGCTAGGCTGATGCCACGGCACTCTAGCCCAGGCAACAGAGTGAGGCTCTGTTTAGTTTACATTATTATTTATTATTATTGAGACACTCACTGGGCTACCTGTATCTTAAGCCATGAGATTGCCAAGTAAAAAGATGTCAACCGGGTCATGTGCAGTGTCATGCCTGTTATCCTAGCAGTCTGGGAGGCCAAGGCGGGTGGATAGTTTGAGCTCAGGAGTTCGAGACCAGTCTGAGCAAGAGTGAGACCCCGTCTCTACTAAAAATAGAAAGAAATTGATCGGACAACTAAAAATATATAGAAAAAATTAGCCGGGCATGGCAGCATATGCCTGTAGTCCCAGCTACTCGGGAGGCTGAGGCAGAAGGATTGCTTGAGCCCAGGAGTTTGAGGTTGCTATGAGCTAGGCTAAAGCTACGGCAGTCTAGCCCGGGCAACAATGAGACTGTCTAAAAAAAAAAAAGATGTGAAACGATGCCAGTCACAGAGTAGGTTGTTCAAAAGATATTAATTGGGCCCAAATTACCTTAGATAACAGCCACTGTGGACTTCTCTGTATCAAAGTCTGCGGTATGACAAATATCGTCCATGAGCCATGTGCTGTGATTACATTATTTGTTATAGTGGAGGGATCAGGGACTAGGGAGGAGGAATGGCATAATACAAGGTTGCAGTGAGCTAGGCTGACGCTACGGCACTCTAGCCTGGGCAAAAGAGTGAGACAGTCTCAAAAAAAAAAAGATGTGAAATGATGCCAGTCACACAGTAGGTTGTTCAGAAGATATTAATTGGGCCCAAATTACCTTAGATAACAGCCACTGTGGACTTCTCTGTATCAAAGTCTGCGGTATAACAAATATTGTCCATGAGCCATGTGCTGTGATTACATTATTTGTTACAGTGGAGGGGTCGGAGACTAGGGAGGAGGAATGGCGTAATACAAAGACAAGCCAAATGAAAAGGCAGTTTAGCCTTTATTTAGCTATATTATTTATAGGTAATGTTTAATGGTGTTACACAAATAGTATGGCATCATGATTTCACAAATTCCAACCAAGAAGTTATCCTTTCTGTATAGAGAAGCAGCATTATACCCATCTGTTCACCTGTGCACACTGGCAGTTGTGCACAACTTAGGTTAAAAAGCAGAACTTAGGCCCTTGCAAACAAGCTTTTTACCATTAATTATCAGCATTAATTTTATGGGCATTATTTGAGGAATGTAGCCTTCTTAAAATCCCCTTCCAAATTGTGTGTGTGTGTATACGAAGACCTCAATTAAAGAGGAAAAATAATTTGTCAGCAAAAGTAATATTCTGCAAGAAAAGTATGCCAATTTTGAACATTGTAGAAAATAGCATGTAATAAATAATAAGACTTGAATAATAAGAAACCATGAACCAGATTAAAACACAGAGATAGCCATACCTACCAAAGAATGTCACCAATTCCTTCGGAGGAAAGTTAAAATTATCAAAGTCCCTGGATGTTATTTGTAATTTATTTTACTTGGTCATGCTTAAATGTAGAGTAAGTTGTATTTAGCTTTTGTACTATAGCATAAATTCAGTTGACTTCAATACTTCTGACTTCCTCAAATCTCAAGTTAAATGCTTAAATGATCATTGGGAATAGGTAAGTATATGTGTGTGTTGTATGATATACATATGCTACTCTATTAAATAAAATTTAAATGCACATATACATAAAAAATTTTAAGCCCATACAATATTTAAATGTCTTATTTTACTAATGATATCAATACCTTTTTGCTCTCAACAAAAATACGCTATTTAAATATTTTACATGACTGGGCACAGTGGCTCACACCTGTAATCCCGGCATTTTAGGAGACCAAGACAGGGGGATCGCTTGAGGCCAGGAGTTGGTGACCAATCTGAGCAAGTGCCTGTCTCTACAAAAAATAGAAAAATTAGCTGGGCGTGGTGGCACACACCTGTAATCCCAGCTAGTCAGGAGGCAACAGAGCAAGACTCT